ATTGTTTAACATTGATGGGTTCAACCTTTGGAGGTAATAAATCTTTCATTAATAATATTTAGAAATGAATTGTATAATATATATTGTTGAAAAGGAAACCTTCACATGATTGGGGTCTGTGATGGGACAGTTGCTTTCAACCCGCATAAGACGTTAATTAGTTTCTTTGGACAGCTACCTTTCCCTTCAAGTGTCTGATCCCCTATATTTGCTCTTAGTCTCAGCGTTTTTCTGGTGGTATGAATTCGTTTTGTGCGTGAGAGACCCTTTGTGGCAATCCTTTTTTTTTGATTTGGCATCCGCCCCTGATGTCAAGTTGGAGCTTTAAATATATAATTAGATGATAAAAGTTTATCTAATTATATTAATAATGGTTAGTGTCAATGAGTACGATGTTTATACAGATACTATTGACAATATTGAAGAAATGATTGAAGACGATAGTAAATTTCCAGTTGTTGAAGATGGTAGAATAAAATTGTTGTTAAAAATGATTTTTGAATTTATAAAAGTGGTAAAACATATATAAGTAATAATATAAATACCACCAAAAAAGAAAAAGGAAACTAAAAAAGAAACACTTGATGAACAACACAAAAGCGTTAGTGAAGTAGGACAGCAACCAAGAACAGAAACAACATCTGAAGCAACAGCAACAGAAGCGACAGTAAAATCAACTGAAATTAAGAAGGATGAAGTTAAACATATACATAATGCTATTACTTTCCCTTGTCCAGCGTGTAATATTTGTCTTCAAATGAGTAATCAAATAGAAATTAATAGAAAACATGGTTGTAAATGTAAATGCGTTCCGTTTAATTTTTGAATAAGTAGTTCAACACAAACTTTAAGCATCAACAAAAAATATGGAGGGGATATAGAACTAGAAACTGACGACCATGAATTAAAACTATCTTGGAGCTGAGAAATTACACTAGAGGACGAAAAACATTGTCAAGAAGTTAGTAAGATAGTTAAGGAATGTATGAAAAATAGATTTAAAGAGTAGATTTGGATAAAATCAAATTGATAATTAAATATCTAAATAAATAAATATATTTAAATAAATAATTATATGAATAAGTATACAAGTAGTACGGAAAAAACACTCGGTAAATCAATAGAAGAGATGAGAAAAGAGATAATGGAAGAACTGAAGAACAACGGAGAGGAAGTGCTTGAAAAACTGGATTATGTATTGGAAGTGTTGAGGAAACAAAAGGAAGAGGACAAGAAGGAAGACAACAACCAGGATAAGATAAACAAAGCGTTTGAAACGAAGCAGATAGGCAGACCCGTCGGTTCGTGGGAGGATAAGAGAAAGCAATACTTTGAATGGATTAAATCGGGTAAAATCACTCAACCGAAAGAAGAGACTTTAGCATACTACAAAATCAATAAGGACCCGACTAACAACTCCTATGTATTACTGTCGTAATTTCATATTTTAAATCTATAGATTTATAATATGAAACTCTTAGAACTTTTCAGTGGAGCAGGTAGTGTAGGCAAAGTCGCCAAAGAGTTAGGTTATGATGTCGTCTCGTTAGATTTGAAGAACGCCGACATCAACACCGACATCCTACAATGGAACTACAAACAATTCAAACAAAATGAGTTTAACATCATATGGGCATCGCCACCTTGCACCGAATACAGCAGAGCAAAAACAACGGGAATTAGAAAAACAGATTATGCCAACAGCGTTGTTAAGAAAACCATCGAAATCATCAACTACTTCAATCCATCAATATGGTTCATAGAAAACCCCGAGGCAGGACTTTTAAAGCAACAGGACTTTATGACAGACTTTGATTATTACGACATTGATTTTTGTAAATACGGTATGGAATACCGAAAAAGGACTAGGATATGGACTAATCTGAAAGACTGGACGCCGAGACCTTTATGTAAAAAGGACTGCGGGAACATCATAGACAACAGACACAAAGAAACGGCACAACGCCTACCTTCAAAGGGCAGATGGAACGAACAGAAGAAACACACACAAGATGAACTATACAGAATACCGAGCGATTTGATTGAAGAAATAATGAGAGTTGTACAGTAAATGTTGTTCGTTTAGACTAAAAGCAGTTCATGTCGTAAGTATGCTTTTGAAAGACCTTCCAACTGATAAGTCCGATTACCCATAATGTCGTGCTCAATCTTTTCAACTTTGTAGGCGCCTTTAGACCATTTGCTGTTATACTCTTTCCTATCGGTGTAGTTGCCCTTCTTCTTATGAAAGTATTTGACGCTGTCGCCTTCTTGGATGGTTGGATATTTCCTTTTGTTTTTCTCTCTTAACGTTAGATTGATCCTGACCGTGCTGTTGTTCTCGTCCTTGTGTGCTTGTTTAGGTGTCATCTTTGTTGATGAATGAACTGTGGTGTTGTATTTGTTTAGGACAGGCGATAGCATAGAAGTCCAACCTGCCTTGTTGAACCTCACCCTGTCGTGTATCATCTTTTTCATAGTCCTAATGAAACGCTCTGCCACGTTTGCATGGGTCTGGGTGATGATGTGCGTTATGCCTTCATCTTCAAAAAAATCTTCACACTTGCTTGAAAATTACCGTCGCTATCAGAGTAAATTGACATTGGAAAACCCATCTTCTTAAATGCTTCTTTTAATGCTTTAAGGACATTATCACTGTTGAGTTCATCTATCGGTATTACATCCGCATACTTGCTAAAAATGTCAATAACCACTAACGCTTGTTTGGGCTCACCTTTTGAAACTTTCATTTTTGCTTCTGGGTCGGGTTTGGACGCTAATGGGGTCATAAACATTATATCTATCTGGTATTCAAATCGGGCGAAAGGAGCGGTGAATGAGTTGGTGCCACTGTATCCCTTAAGCTGTTTGTTGGGTTGTTTGCTCATAAACTTCCTTACATCGTCTAATGTTATCTCTATGTCTTGTGCCTTCGCTTTCTTATATGTTTCTTGGATTGACCCGAACGCTCCTTCAATGTCATAGTAAGCATTGCTGATAATCTGGTCCTTTGTTAATCTTCTTGCCATTATATGAACTTATATGAACTTTAGATTTTTAAATTTATCCACAACTAAAAAATTACCTCAAGAAATAAAGACTTATATATATAATATATTAAGAGAAAATAAGATGACTAAATTTGACTGTGGATGTCGTATTATGTGTGAGTGTATCAACTTAAGCAGTGGCGATTACAAAAAAACTAACTGGAGTTATTTGTTAAAAACCTTCGTGAATGTTTGTGGAAAGCGTAGCAAGAAACAAATGAAATTCCAATATATGGAAAATAAACTTCTGGAATTGGAAAAGCAACGAATGGAAATGTTTATGAACTTCGAAGATGACGACGAAGAAGAGTATGATGAAGAATATAAAGAACAATTTAGAAAGATGACGGACGAAGAGATTGAACGACACATCGGTCTTGAAAAAGTTAGGAATGTAATGGAAGGGTTTGACCAAGAACACGGTATAGATAAAATCAGAAGGATGATAGAAGAGATAAAGAACGAAGATAAGAAAGAAGAACCCGAAGATGAAGAATATGAAAGCGATAATAGCGAAACACAACGAATGAAGCGATTACAGTGGATACAGGACAACAGGAAACCCAAAAACTGAACAAGACAGCTAAATTACTTAAAGACAAAATAACTATATATAATAAGAGAAAATGAGTAGAGCAAAAATTGAGGTTATAGATACAGGCAATATCGGTTTATATGCTAACTTTGGTAGTGAAAGCGAGGACGATGACTGGGAAAGAAAAGCAATAGAAAAAGAAGATGAAGAGATTAGAGACTTTGTAAGGTGTCATCCTATGCCTTGGCCTTCACCCGATGATGTGGAAGGAAAGAAAGTAATTGATAGGATGAATGATAGTGAAAAAGCAAATAGAATGGTAATATATTCCTTCGTAAGATTTGATTCGGGAGAACGCTCGAGCGGTCCTTCGAAGAGCTGGAGACGCCATTTCTCCAACAGTTTCTTTGGAATCGCCTTAGCCTGCCTTAGCCTCCGCCCCATTTGCTGAATGCTCCCTGCACTTTCACTTCCTCCACAACCCGCTGAGCTGAGCCCCTGGTGCCTTTTCTTGCTCCCCTTTGATTCACGAAGTGAATCTCGCTGAAGGGCGATGTTGGGGCTAATGAGCCGCCTGTTTGCATTCCTGGCACATGTTCAGGCAGTGCAGCCAGTTGCCGGCCCTTTTTTTGCTCGCTGGCGTTTGGCTAGCCACGGTGACACCAGCCCGTGTCTCCTTGTTTTTAGGGCCACCCTGCTGTTTTTTCCAGCAAAGCTATATATATGTGGCCCTAATGTATCCTGATGTGAATCACATCAGTACTGTATGTTGATATTGCTTCTAGATTGTTCGACTGAATGAATTCAGATTTGGCCACCACTCATGAAGAATATGTATGAAAACCTAACTGATAAAAGAGTAATCATTGACTGTGGTAAAGAACTTAACCGTGATGGTGAGTTCAACGCAATGATTATTAATATAACTCTTTTATCAATAGCGATGGATGAACTAAACGATGCAAACAAACTGTGCTTAACGCAAATGAGAGTTATTGAACACTGGTGGGATGGAATAGGAAAGTGGAAAGCGTAAATGATTAGTTCATAACATCTTAACAAAAATATTATGAAGTAATCTTTAAACAAAACAATCACCACAAAATCACAACAACCCCGACACAAACATCAAGTGAAAGTTTTAGACAAAATAGTCCCAGAAACCCCCACACAAAAAACATCAAAGACAAGGAAGAAACATTGAACAAAAACCTAAAAACCATAACAGCCAACATATTAACATAACTTGTCCCAGCATCCCCCTTTTACCATTTTTTCACCTACCGTTACTACCGTTCACCAAAATTTCACCAACACATTTGGGTGGAATGCCGGTTGCATTTTTTTGAAACATTTAGGATTTACCTAGACCCTGGAATCTCTACTTTCACAAAGTCTCCGAGCCCTGCTGACAGGACATAGCACGGCTGCTAACAGACGACAGTGCCGTTTGCCGTGATTCTGCGAAGAGTGCTCTAGAGACTTGGCAGAGTTTTGGCGACAACTACCAATTCAAAGCACATCAAAGCACCAAAACCTTTAACCTTTCAGCCTTAAACGAAACAACTCCAACCAGACCTACGGCCTGTAATATTCGGTAGCGCTGTATAGCTCAGGACACCATGCTAGGACGCTGAGATGGGCGGAGGGTCACCAAACGTTGGCAAAATCTGCTCCATCGACCAACGGTGTCCGATGCAGCAAATCCTGTGGGTTCAATTTGATCGGGACATGCCCGGCGTTGTTGCTGGAGGAGCTGGATTAGCAGCTGCTGATCTCAAGGTCATTGAGACTTGCGGTGCCTATTGTTTGAAGCTTCTCACTGATTTTGAACATCAGTTGATTTGTATTTGTATACATTTGCGTTGGTCAGGGATGATGAGGCCGAACACACAAGATGGAACTAGTAGTTCATTGCGGTCTGAAAGTGGCCTTTGATAGGTGATGACGATAGGTTTCCCTTTATGACAGGTGGTGGTGCCACCGAATGCTGAGCTCTATGTGCAGCGGCTGAAGCACCAGGCCATGTAAAGAACTGTGTTGTCCTTTGCTGTTCGTTGTCAACTAGTTTAAAGCGTTTCGATGGACAGCAGTAGCAGAAACGGACAGAAAAGAAATTTAAACACTGGATGGTCTCATTGGATGTGTCTCATGTTTCTTCAATGAGGATCCAAAAGTTCGCTGTGCAGCCTGCTGGGTATTGGGCCATTCAGCTGCGGCAGTGGTGAACCTGCACGGGATGCTTGCCTATGTTGTTTGGCAGACTTGGTCACCTGCTCTTGCTTTGTTTAATCTGAGTTGATCCGTGAGGATCGCCGAAGTCTTGGTGAAGGAATCCAACCCCAAGACGCTGTCCCTCGCTGCGGAATGCATTGGAGCCATGCAGCTGGCAGCTCTACCAGCTGCGCCTGAAGTGGCAGAAAGCCTGAAGAGCTTCATGGCTCAGGAGCGGCAGGAATTTGTATCCCGACCGAGGTGGGTTTGCTAGGTTTGTGGTTGCAAGGAAGAGATGGGAAGAAGCTCAAGACTATACACTGCAAAAAGATCCGTGCAATGATTTGCTCCGTGAGTCATGCAATTTTGGAGTTTTGCATTGTTTATTCTATATGTTTATCGAAGGAAGTTTAGAAGTCAAACTTCCGACAATATGGACAGATGAAAAGCAGAGATGGGAAGAGTCAGAGAAGAGTCAGAGAAGAGAAGAGAAGAGAAGAAGAAAGAATATAAAAAAAGAGAAAGTCTCAGAAGAAAGAAGATCCAGGTGCGCGAAAAGGTAGGAAAGTCGCGAAACACTGTGTTTTTCCAATGATTTGTGGCTCCGGAGGGTCGAAAAGTAGGCTCGCTAAAGCGGCGGGTGCGGAGCCATGTGGTCAGATGAGAGATGAAAAATTGCATGCCGTTGTGGCGCGAAGCACATTTCCAAGTCAAAATGCACAAAGCACCTCAGCTCCGAAGCACTTTTAGAAGTTGAGATGTCGAAAAAGTGTACGCGGTTGTGGCGCGAAGCACATTTCGAAGTCAAAAGTGTTAAAAACTGACGGGTTCGGACCATTTTTGGATGTTCAGATGTCGAAAAAGTGCACGCCGTTGTCGCGCGAAGCGCATTTCGAAGTCAAAAGTGTTAAAAACTGACGGGTTCGGACCACTTTTGGACGTTCAGATGTCGTTTCGCGTGCCAGGCGCAAGGGATTGTGCACCTTGTGAAAGGTGAGCAAAGTGTGAGGGTTATGTTGCATTTCCAAAAACGATGGCAGGCGTCGGACATTTGAAGAGGATCTGCAAAGATGCATTTTCCGTGGCAGGCGCAGTACAAGAGACATGTTCATGAGAGATTTTGGAGCATCAGATCTTCAGTTTTGGGAAGATGATTTTGCGTAACAGGTGCAGCACTTCGTAGGACCATCACTTTTTCGTGGCAGGCGCAGCACTTTAGACAGATGGAGTGGAATCATCGCAAAACGCATTGGTACGAGGCCGTCAGCTCTGCACTCAACTTTCCATTTTGAAGGAAGTCTCGCAGAATTGCGTCGTTTTTGATGTTGTCAAGTTCAAAAATTGAAGAAGTCTTGCAGAATTGGATGTTGCCAAGTTCCAAAATTGAGGAAGTCTCGCAGAATTGCTGAGTTTTCAAGCTTGCAGGTAGACAGGCAGACAGACGGGCAGACAGACAGACAGACAGACAGACAGACAGACAGACAGACAGATAGATAGATAGATAGATAGATAGATTATGATAGATAGGTAGATAGATAGATAGACAGATAGACAGATAGACAGATAGACAGATAGACAATTACAACTACAACTACGACTATGACTACGACTACCACTACACTACACTACACTACATTACACTACACTACACTACACTGCACTGCACTACACTACACTACACTACACTACACTACACTAATTACATTGCACTACGCTACACACACTACACTACACTACGCTACACTACACTAATTACATTGCACTACGCTACACCTACAACTACTCTCATTAGCTTACACTAGACTACACTACACTATACCACATCACACTTCACAACACTTCACAACACTACGCGACATTACACTGCACTACTCTACACTATTTACACCAGACCACGGCTACAACTGCAACTGCGCTTGCAAATGCACTAAATACACTACATTACAGCTACAGCTCCACCACACTACACTACAACTACAGCTACAACTGGAACTACAACTAGTACTGCGCTACACCACACTACATCCAGCAGTTGTGGTAAGGTGACCACTGCCACCATTGCAACCATTCCAAAAAACACAACTCCAACCACCTGTCGGTCCATCAGTGGATTCGCTCTGCCATCCCTGATTCACAACAACCAACCTCTCCTATAGGTTTCCTATTTTTGAAACTTCCGCCACCGCCTTGTGCGGTACTACTGGTATAATTCATAATCTACATCCGTTTTTTTAATAGCCCGAGCTTTGGGCCTGGCGCCCGCACTTCCCCGCTTGGCATCGGCAGGAGGGTCGCGAGAAGATGCGCGGCATAGCCAGAAGCCCTGCCGGCGCAGCCCTGATGCAGCTGCACAAGGAACATTTTGCACCAGATGCAGTGGTCAGTAGAATAAAAAACGCCCACGCCACACCTTGCTCAGAATTGTTTATCGAATTGTGAAGTTGGAATGCATCTTAAGTGCGAAAACAACACGACTAAACTTGACAGGGGAAAGAATCAGGAGTTGAAAGTCTCTTGTGCACAGATTGTATGCCCAGCAAGATTGGAACTGACCCTTCCCTTCCTTGTAGCAAATAATCCAAATAAACCAGATTGCGGCAAATGTGCATCGTGGAAAACGGTTGGAAAAAAAACGCGTGTGGTGATTTCAAAGTCGACATGCCGCTTCTGGGATTAGCCGGTTGTCATTCACGAAGTTCAACAACAATGGCATCAGCTAAAATTGAATATTGAATTTCACCGTGAGTGCAGGCACGCCCAGGTGATCAGCCTCGTTAATTTAAGGACACCATAAAGGGCTTCGTTGGGCGAAGCTCTATCTCGAAGCCCTATGCGTTGGGCGAAGCTCTATCTCGAAGCCCTATGGGCCTTCTGTGCGCCGCCTATGAAAGTGATTTTTCTCAGTGACATCGAAGAAAGGTACAAGTTTTACACTTATTGAGATGTCACGCAGACGCACACACACAAAAATTTTCAGTTGGAAGATTGTGCGGAGAATCACGGGTCCTTGTGACAAGAAAGAAATATGTCGGAAACAGTGTGAGGGAGGGATATCCAACAAGAGAGCTACAAGTTTTGGTCTTCCTCAAGTTCATTGACCACATCCGATTGTCGAGCCCGGACATTGCCAATGATAGCAAGCCGGGCGCTCAGGTAGCTCAGGCGCTCAGGGTTGGCTTGATCATAGGAGGATGGGCGGGTAGTATCACCAGGAGCTTCACCTTCAGAAGCTGCGTCAATGATGCTTTGCAGCAGCTGGGCCAAGGACAAAATGCCAGGAGAAATGTTTGGAGAGGTTGGAGGAGTGAGTCGGTGGGTGTTCACGAGGGTCATGGTCATCCCCCTTTTCAGGGACCAGAAGAATTCCTCAGGAGAGCGAAACCTAGTGAATCTCGCAGCATTGATTTGACCCACAACTTCTTCTGATCGTTTTCAGCAGTCCACACTTCAAAGGTCACACTTGCTTCCTTGCAAAGATTGGCTGATGAGCTGGGCCAATCAGGTCGCATGTATTCGGAGTGGAACCAGAGGAAATGACAGGTGGTGTAGATTCAACGCCATGGATGGGATATTTGATGATGCTTGATCCCCTCAATTCTCCGTGGCTCGATGCGACGTGTTGGGCCAAGCAAGGTCCGCCATGGCACTATCACGTTTTGCGCCGGACATACCGCTCGAAGGTTATGTTCAGTATTGACCAGATCTGTTCACTGATTGGCGCGACCAGCGCGGGAGATAGGGGGCTGACCATTGGGCTGCGCCGATTGTGTCGGAGACATCGGGCCCCCAGCGCGAAAGTTTGCATATCTAATGCTGTAGAGATCAACGAAGGTACCTCCTGTACAGCGATCATGTCCTGAAGGTGCGTCCCCTGACAAGGCCACCCGGTTGGACGGAAAACGCTTGTGTGTTGCTGAGATCCATGACCGGGAGCAAGAAGTCAAGTAACATATACAAAGCGCCAACGAACCTGAAAGGTTCAAGCTTGTAATAAAACTTGCCGGGTGCTGATAGAGCACCCGATCAACGTGGGTCAGGAGCTTCACGAAGGATTTTCAAAAGTGCGTGCACGTCTCCAGTGGCGAAGTGTTGGAGAGAATAAGTTGAAATATCAACTTTGCCAAAATGTTTTCATTGGCCTGAAGGGTGTGTCCACGAAGGATATGATAGGACGACCGCTCTTGTAGTTTGTCTTTGTTTTGGCCAAGATGTAACCTGCAGGTGGGTTTCGGCCACGTCCAATAGCCCAGGGGTAGCTGCGACCAAAACAGATTCCCAAGCTTTGAACAATACTGTTGACGAAGGTGTCTGCAGTGTCGGAGACCGATTCAAAGACATTTTTATCGGTGAAGGTCTGGTCATCGCCTCGTGAAGAAGGCATGGGCAGTAAATCTGAAGCGAGGAGGAAGGTTTGTCTTCACAATGAAAGATGGCTCCTTGAAATGGGCTCTGGAGGGTTCAAGGCTGTTTTTTTTGGTAATGTGGTTGCTGATGGCTCCAGCATGTTGAAACCACAACAACTGATGGCCTTCTTCGCCATGGAGGGAAGGCCATTGGTGCGAGTCCATTGGTTGATGCCAAGGAAGAGCATCTGCATGACTCCTTCTTCGAAGGGAAGACCTTGTTCATCAACGTTCCTTCAGTCAAGGTGCCAGCAGGGAGCATTGATGCGAAAAGAGATCCAGAAAGAACCCGATACTCGGAAGGATTCAAACATGCTGAGCGGTAGGGCTGCCATGTTTGACAACAGCACGATGGAGCAGTGCCTTGTGACCACTCTTGGATGGTGTGCTTGTGGTTGCAAAGAAGATCCATGACTGACCGGTGCTTGACAAATATGGTCTTGTAATTGCGAGGGATTGTGGCATGGGACCTTCTAGGGCATGACTTGAAGATGCCAACTGCAAAGAAAGGAATTGAGGAGCTTGGTCAAATTCGTTGTGAGTAACCAGGGGACGCACAGGGCAGAAGCCCGGCTTGCTTTTCCACCACCGGATAGAAACATCGATTGGCTGTGGGGCAAGAGTTTTGTATATAAGGCTCTTGAATATTTGCACCCAGCCGGCGCAGCATGTAGCATAGGGTAAGGTCGCCGTCGGTCGATGTCAGCATCTTGCTAGTTTCCAATCAGGACTTTGTATTTGATCCCAAAGCATGGATGATCTGCCATAGACCAAGCCTGTCTGAAATCGATCTGACTGAAGGACCCTGACAATTTGCAGAGTGAACTCCGTTTTTGGCCTTGCGCCGGAGGGATGCAAGGCCAAATTGTGCATTCGTGCAAAAGATTCTTCCGCGGATGGAAGAAGTGGCAGATAAAACGAGAATTGAGATGCGGCTGCCACTCCTGTATGAGGGCCATTTCTGGTCTGTATTCGTGGCGTCTGCATGGGGACGAATTCCATGAATGAGCCACCCAAAAAGCGTAGAAGACATCCAAACGTACACAGTACCAAGATCATTGGACGGATTTGTTGAGGAAGAACTTGGAGAGCCTTGTGCTTCATTTGCTTGGGTAGGAGAGGACCTAGTCAACCACACATGGTCACATCCGTAGTGAGAACCGGAATAAGGATGACATCGTTGGACTTCTGCGGAAGACCATGATTACTGCCACTTTCTGTATTGCATCCGCAGCAGAATCGGGCTGGGATTGCCACCACTCACATGCTCGATCCAAAATTTGTTGTATAGGGCCGGTTTCTGAGCTGCCGATATGTCGAGCTTCTTCATTCATGTGTTGTGCTCATGTTCTGTCATTGACTGCCGAAGATTCGAGGTGAGCCAAGAGTTAGACTGACCAGGGATGGTGAGTAGGCATGGTGGTTCAAAGAGGTACTGGGTTTGGAGGCTAGGAAGAGCGACGTCGGCTCGGTGCATTTGAATTTTTGTAATGACGGACTTGGCAAGGACCGCTTGTCCAGCCATGTGGTCTTGTCCCGATAACTCGGATGGGAAGAATAGTGCCGACGTTGCCAGGAATAAGAGTCACGACGACAGGGCAGCGGTTCATGGTCAATGTCAGGAGGGGTTGTATCATAGGGGTTTGTGGAGGTGGCGGAGGTTGATAAGTGGACCTGGTGTCTTTGGCTTTGCCTGACGAAGAGGTCGGGAATTGCCAATGGCTCTTCGAACTTCCTCTTTGCAAACTTCTGCCGTTTTCTTTCCCAAGGTGGGTTTGGAAGTGGGTTGAAAGTCCTGTGGTTGTGGAACGTTGAGAGGAGGTGAAGATGATGGAGGAATGGAAATCGGTGGAGGTTGTTGAGCGGTCAACTGTTGACTCCTTAAGGCGTTTTGTTGCAGTAACAACTGAGCCTGAGACTGAGCCTGCTGCTGTTGAACTTGTTGAACTTGGTGTTGCAAGTGAGGATCGCGCCCTCCAATTTTACGTCCCGTGCCAGGTGCTGGAAGAATTGGTGTTGCCAATGAGTTTGGCATTGACGGAGGTACGTTGCCCATCGGTGATCCCATGGAATTCATCATTGCACGTTGCACCCACGAGAAGGGGAACATGGTAAATGGCACGGCGAGGAGAAGGCAGTGAGAGAAAACAGGTTTAAAACAAATCGCATAATCATCACATTGCGACGCATCCAACTTCGAAGTGCAAGCAAGAGAGTCGTGATCAGGCTCGAAGGCTCTGTGATCGATTCAACCCTGTGGACAGCTTAGGTCGTCAACCCTGGTAGATGCACGATACCTTCACCAACGACCATAAAAAAAGGAGTGCCACACCTAAAGTCATGGACCTGCCTGGAAAGATCCTCATGCTGCAAGTGACGCCGATCTGTCTTTCAAGGATCGATGAAAAAGAATTTTTCCCAAGTTCAACAGTCATCCACATTGGCAATCTCTCAAATGAAAGGATGCCAAGCCAGGCACGGCGGCCAGTTGTTTAACCAGCGACAAACGACAGGTGAGAAAGGAAAAAAGGCCTATTGTTCCACTTTACTGAAGCGAATTACCGTAGTGAAGTACCTCACTTCAGGATTGAATTCGCGGATCCAACTTCTTACGTAGAGAGGTATTCGCCGAAGGGTTCATGCCACCATGTTGAATCCGGCATGAGTGACACATTTGCTCAGACTTGCTTATCGACTTGTGAGGTTGGAATGCATGTTACATATGAAAACAGCACCAGTAAACCTGACAGGAGAAAAGGTTGCAGTCAAGAGTTGGGAGTCTCTCGTGTACAGATCAGATTGTATACCAGATTGGAACTGACCCTCCCCGTACGGAAATAGTCAGAATAATCCAAATAAACCAGATTGCGGCAAATGTGCATCGTGGAAAGCTGTTGGAACAATTCATCAAAAATTGCGTGGAGATATTTATAGCTTGTGTATTAACGCAATAATATTAAATCATATCAAGTTCAAAAGACAAACAGATAAACAAATGAGTGGAGAGAGTAATATTTCAAAAAAACAAACACAAACAGACTGACACGTAGAGAGATCAATACATCCACACACACACAAATATGTATAATATTAAAAAATAGATAAATAGATAGATAGATAGATAGATAGATAGATAGATATATGTATATATTGATGAATAAATAAAAAATATAAACAAATAAACAAACAAATAAATATATTAATTTGTATAACCACATATCTTGTTACACGTCTTACGGAAAGATAGAGACGTATCCCTCGTATTTTACATGTCCCGCATCTATACATATATACTGTTTGTATACAAATAATGAATATATATATATATACACACACACATCAAGCTATATGTGATATTGAGTTGTGTTTGCCAGCAGCTCCGACTGCGTTGGTTTTCATTTTATCTCTCGTCCCCGAGATGTCAGATCACACATATATGGGGAAACATCAGCATTCGCACCATTCGCAGCATTTCACAGGAAGTGGTCGCTGTCATCGGAAGAGCCATTACCAAAGACCCGCGGGTCAAAGATGCAGCAGAGCGAGCACAACAGTACGGTGCAAGGCAGCTGGGATTCTCTCAGAAGATCGTGTGTCACTGAATGCTGGTGGCAATGTGCCATGAACCTTGTGAGTATAGCCTTGGCTCAGGGATACAGCAATTCTTCTCCGGCACAAGTTGATTAAGAATTAAAGGGCCGGATGACCCCACGTGTCAACTTCTTCCAATAAGCAGCCAAAGAAATGTGAAGATGGGATGGGAAAGGCAGGAAAGAGAAAAGAGATGGTGAAGGATCGGTGTGTGCAAAAAAAATATGTCGAAGGGAGGTGCGTGAAAGGAGTGTATGCAATAGTGTGAAAAAGTGGGGTGTATGTGTGTGATAGAGTCGTGCGTGAACGTGCTGTGGGTGAAAGTGCGTGTGTTTGTGTATGCGTGTCTATGTGTGTGTGTGTGTGCGGGTGTGTGTGTGTGTTGAAGACGGCGTAGAGTAAAGGCGGCACGTGCACAACGAGGACGGAGAGGTACCTGGCAGCCACGACAATACAATGTGGGTAAGTGGTGAGTGATCATGTTATGTAGCCAAACCGGCATGCCAACACCATGAGTAGAGGTGAATGGCAGCGGCCGGTCTTGGCACCATGCGCAATGTGGCCACGCAGCCCGCGCAGACCGTCATGAGAGCGGACGGACGGTCTTGGTGGACGCAGAAGATTGCTTCTCACCAAGTGCCATGCCTGCCACGCCAAATGCCTCTGGATGTCGCCAAGTGCCACGCCTGCCACGCAAAACGGCGACCAGCGCGGACCAGCGCATCACAAGAGCCACCCCAGCCGCAAGTGCCACTCCTGCCACGCAAACGCACGGCCGATCTTACCAAGTGCCACGCCTGCCACGCCAAATGCCTCTGGATGTCGCCAAGTGCCACGCCTGCCACGCAAAACGGCGACCAGCGCGGACCAGCGCATCACAAGAGCCACCCCAGCCGCAAGTGCCACGCCTGCCGCGCAAACGCAAGGTCTATCTCACCAAGTGCCACGGCGTCTGCGCGAAAGACCACGGCATCACTGGCGACCAGCGCGGACCAAGCGCGTCACAAGAGCCAGCCCAGTGCCACAAGTGCCCCGATCTCACCAAGTGCGACAACGGATCTATGTCTCGAAGTGCCACGCCTGCCACGCCAAGTGCCGCGGCGACAACGGCGTCAATTGGGAACCAAGTGCGCCACCAGAGCCAGCCAAGTGCCATAAATGCCACGCGGGCCACGCCTGCCACGCCAAAGACGGAGATATCGCCTGGCAAGCCAGGTTGCAAAAAAGCGGTATACTCATCTTTGAGTTGCTGGAGGCCGGGCCGAAGTTGAAAGCTCTTTTGTTTTTTTGGTTGAGTGTGGAGCGTCTTTTAAATGAAGTTCCCCTTTTGCAGGAGCTGGTCTTCGGGAAGAAGTTCGATCACGGAGTGAAGCAGTCAGCCAAACAAGGTGGAGCTGCCGAGCTGGTATTTGAGCAAGAACCTGTGAAAGACGCCTGGCAAAAAATCACAAACGAACTTGCAAAGGAAAGTGAAGAAAGAAAAGCTGCAGCGTCCCAGCTAGAGGATGCTCAGGGACCAGAAGAAGAAGAAGAACCTGTGGCAATTCTTCGAAAACCGCCGTCCAGTTTTGAGCTGCACAGCGCCCAGTACTGGAAGTCTGTCGCAAACCAAGCAGTGCGAACGTACGTGACCCTGTGTCCGGAACCAAAAACTCTGTCAGGAGTGGTTGAAGCCGTAGCTCAAAGCAATGTCAAAAACATTGCTGGCACACAGGGCGAAAGCTCCGTGGTGCTTTTTCTGGACATGGATTCCCTCGGCGAATCGCAGGGACCGGGGCAGCAACCATTATTGCGGAAAAAGTTCCATGTGGAACAAATCTTGCTGCGCAAGCTCGTGCACGGGGCAATGCTTGCCCGAGGCTCCCAGCGACGTGAAAACGATGAAGCGACCAAGGTCGTCGACGGTGACATCGTCCTAATTCACAATGGAATGGGGCATCCAGGAGGCCTTAGTGACGCCAAAAGCATGTTCAAGCTGTAGAGTTCCAAGGGTGACTTGGACTCCGAGGTCAAAGAAGTTTTGGTCGTCTTTGATGATGCCTCTATCCGCAACAGGAAGCAGCGCGTGCGCGGAGGCTACACCTCCCACACGTGCATGACTGTTGCAAGCTCTAACTGCTTAACGCAGTGCCTCCCTGAGAAGCAGTTTGAGCACCACACTGGCCACTGCACGTCCAATGTTGTGCATGGAGTCAAAGCCTTGTCACCCACAGACCTCTGGCACACCAACAGGAGCGAGAAAGTGGAGATCCTGGGCAAGGCAAGAACCGTCGAGGTGACCCCGGAAGCTGCCGAGAAGAAACAGTGTAGCGAGCAGACGGCAGTGCTGGAAAGCGTCTTCTCCGCTAGCTTGTTGCCAGAGAATTTTTCCGAGACATGCTGAGAGGCCACTCGGCCAAAGCAATTGTGGATTTGTCTTGTGGACAAGGATCTCCCTTATTTTGTGTTCGTTCTCTCAGCAGCCCATGGGAAAAAATGGAGATGATGCTGACGGAGTTCGTGCTGACTGAAATGCGCAGAGAAGGTTCGAGCCATTACAGGCCGGAAGCCGCGCAAGAGCCGCCAGCCGAGACGGGATCGGACGGTACACAGCCAAAGAAGCAGAAAAGCGACACGGCACCAAAAGGAGAGCCGAAGCCCAAGAAGCCACGAAAGACCAGCAAAAAAGAAGATGAAACCGAAGAAGTTCCCGTGGACGCGGGCGCTGGTGGAGAAGAAGATGAGGGAAAAAAAATTCCCCTTGCCTTGGTGAGAGACTCGCCGTGTCTGAGTGACCGGAGGCGGCTGTGAGGCTTTAAAGAAGCTTATTTAGAAGATTAATTTAGTAACCACACATATTTTAAATCCACGCTTATATATACACCCCCACCAATGTTGTTTTCCAAGCCTCACGGATGGGCCTTGGTGTAGGACTCCCGTTGAGGTAGCGTCAGCGGTCCTCATCTCACTGAGGAAAAAAACTGCTGAAAAAATCTCACAGGAAACGCTGTTGAAAGATTGCAAGTCCAAGTTTATCATGTTTTTCGGAGGCCCGGATGAGAGCTACAGCTACAGACACGGTGCACACACAGACACCTTCGCAAAGTCCTGCGAGAAAAAATGATGCGAGCGCGGAATTAGTCGATGCAGCCGGCCATTTCCCACATTTCAAACCCTATATAGCCCCATGGGTTTAATCAGACATCCATTTAATATCTCAGATATTATAGTTTGATCACTGAAGGATTCCCGAAACTTTGTAATCCATCTTTAAATTAACATATTAAATTGCAAATTCAAGAGATCAAAGGCAACCAGACAACTACTAAACAACGCCAAGCAGTGCCATAAGTGCCACGCCTGCCACGCAAAGTGAAGGTCGATGTCGCCAAGTGCCACTTGCGGCATGCAAGTTGTGTGTGGGCGTAAGTTGAATGTGAGTAAGCAGTTTGTGGACAAGTTGTGTGTGAGCGTAAGTTGTGTGTGAGCAAGTTGTGTGTGCACAAGTTGTGTGTGCACAAGTTGTATGTGGACAAGTTGTGTGTGGACAAGTTGTGTGTGAGTAAGTTGTATGTGAGCAAGTTGTGTGTGCACAAGTTGTGTGTGGACAAGTTGTGCGTGAGTAAGTTGTGTGTGAGTAAGTTGTGTGTCGACAAGTTGTGTGTGGACAAGTTGTGTGTGGACGTGTGTGGACAAGTTGTGTGTGAGTAAGTTGTATGTGAGTAAGTTGTGTGTGGACAAGTTGTGTGTGTGGACAAGTTGTGTGTGCGCAAGTTGTATGTGGACAAGTTGTGTGTGGACAAGTTGTGTGTGTGGACAAGTTGTACGTGAGTAAGTTGTGTGTGGACAAGTTGTGTGTGGACAAGTTGTGTGTGAGTAAGTTGTGTGGAGGAGAGGAGGCGGGAGGAGGAGGAGGCGGGAGGAGGAAGTGCGCGGGAGTGCCCAACCAAAAACAAGAACCCCACACAAAGATGTGGGGAAAAATCTTTGCCTGTACTGTTTCAACTTTCAGGACTCCTGAAGCTACTATTGGAGTTAAGTTCAGCGCAGATCCGTGATCGAGGTTGTACTAAGTTACTAGGTTCATCGAAGTTTACAGACCTGACGGTTCATTCTAGGATTAGTGAGGAAGACCATGCGTCCCCAGAGAGGCTTGGTCGAGAGACAAATTTGCAACGAGAGGAGGGCGCGGCTTGATCGCAGCTATTGGCCTTGTGTAAGGGCTGCCATACCCCCACCTTCAAACCATCATTGTGTTTGTGTTTCTATTTGGTCAGTATTGGGGCTACCTTCCTCTTTCTTGCTTGAAAGATTTAGGATATATAGCCCCGGGTCGCCTCTTCTAGCGCCAACTCTCTTTTTGCTCAAGATGCAGAAAGGTGCTTTCGCCCTTTCACTTGCACTTGTGGTGTTTTTGAGTTTTTGGGGAAACAATCCATCATTCAAGTGGTAATCAGCTGTATGTCTCTTGATTGTTGTGTTTGCTTGTGTTCGCCCCCTGCACTTCATCTTTTCATTTCAAAAGGTTTGCAGGCACCTTCAGCCTCTCCATGGCAGATCGGTCATCTCCTGAACCCTACGAGGAGTTTGCGGCAGAGCACGGTGAGGTGGCTGGCCGAACTCGGGTATCAGGAGTGCATCGTCGATCTGATTGCAGGAGAGGCTTTCTGGAGGCGAGCATCGGAAGAGCTTGGGGTTTGAGTGGAACGCATTCCAGTGTTTCATCAGGGTGGCCAGTCACACCCCGTGTGCATGGCAACCTTCGGAATCATAAGTTGAATACCTTGCTCCTCGCCAGCGTCTTTCTGAGTTTCAAGTCTGGGATTTGGCGCCTAGTTCTAGATCAGCCCGTATCCTCTTCTAGGCCAGCTTGAACTCCTCAGACTTCGGGCACCACTTCATCGAATCAATCAGATGTTTCGGGACGTAATTGGATTTCTGAATTTCCGCCCCCGGGCACAGCTCCGACATGAGAGGTGATCGATTTGACTCAGGTTGACGAGGTTGCGCCGGCTCAGCTACACCTATCAGTGGAAGCCTCTTGGTGGGTGGAGGACCAGCAACCGTTTGACATTCCCAGCTTGAGGGCACTCTGTCTGCCTGGAGTGGCACCAGGCGGTGGACGCTGATAGGCGTTCATAGTACAAAACAGATCGCATTCAAGCTGACGGTTTGCTTTATCGCCATTTGGAAACTTTGACTTCCTTCAGCCATCGATGCAGGCAGTCCAAAGTTCCCATTCATCTCATCACTTGCTCTCACATGGAACGTGTGGAACGCAGTCGCCTTCCAGTGAGCCTGATTCTGGTGACAGTGGCACGAACAGGAGTCAAAGGCAAATAGTCGGCCATTTGGCCTACTTCTCAAGCCTGAACTATCCGAGGAACGATTGTACCGGTTGCTCAATCTCAGGTGGGCCGTTGTTGCCAAGGGCCAACCAGTTCGTGGATCTTTATTCCCGAGGCACCTGAGGAGCTGCGCATCCGTTGTACAGATCTGAGTTGCCTCATCCCGATTTGCTGCTTCAAGCGCAGAGGAACGGATTTTTGTGCTCTACTCTATAGAAGTTTGTCTCATCACTGAACTCGTGGTTTTTTTAAAATTTTCACGTGCAAGACCGCGACAGTGTTTCACAGCTTGACTCTGTTTCACAGCTGAATCTGTTTCACAGCTGTTTTTTCATTGCGAGAGTCTGTATTCAAATTTGATCATCTGTGTTTGAATCTTTTGCCTCTCGCTGTCTGGCGGCATCAGCGCCGCGGTGAGAAGTATTTGGAATTTGTTTGTCTATCCTTGGGATTTGCTGTTGAAATGTCAAGTTCAGATCCTATGTCAAGTCTCAATCTTAGACCAGAATCAATAGGTGTCCCAGCTTCTGCTGCAGAAGCTTCATCTCAAAGGTCCAACCGAAGTGCATCCTCAACACCTCGGTGTGCACGTTCCAAAAGTAGTCAGGGGCAGGGACAAGGGAGATCATCAAGAGTTTGCCAAATACTCGATCATGACATTGATAAGCATGTTGCAGTTGCTTCCGTGGTCATGGAGTTGTTTCGGCTTCACAGCCGTCACAGTTGGCTTTGGATGACCCATCAAGTGGATTCCAACCTTCGGCTCATAAGACCATTGAATATCATGATCAACGATCTCAGCAAGTGAAGGTTGGAATAGATCCCACGGTGTTCTCCAATATGGTGACTGAAGCCCGTAGGGTCATTCAAGAGCCCGAAGAAGAGCTTCAGGGTTTGGAGCATTTAGCTCAAGAAGATTACTGACAGGCCTGTGCCCGCATCCAAGACCTTGTAAGTCTTGCCGAGGGTTTGTACCAACCCAACTGTTCCCAAACATCCGAGATAGAGAAGCTTTCCACGGAAGTCCAGTCAACCCCAGATCAACTTCAAATCCAGATCAGCCGAACTTAGAATATGCTGTCACAACTTTCCCATTTCGAGCTCCAGATATGTCAAATGTCCAGAACTTCTTCGGTCATGTCATAAAGATGCAGAGACTGGATGAAGTAAATTTGCTGAATTCCGAGAACACCCGGCCTGCAGGCACAGCAGGTTTCATCTGGTGGTGAAGTCGTGGCATCATGGCAATCATGATGCAGTTGTTGCCCAATTACCTTGTGAACAGCACATGGGGTCAATGATGGCAGCGATTCAATATTTGTCAGGCAGATTGAGACGCATCGCGCATAATGGCATGGAGCCAAATTCAGAAAACCCCATGCGCCGCCTTCAGGTCTTCAAATGCCAGCTGGATTTCCAGGACCCCCTGTCAGATGATTGTGATTGGCCTGACGGTGAGGGGGAGATTCAGCAGATGAACTGGTGAACGAAGATAAATCTAAAAGGGATGTCGTAGATTGGTAGATTCCTAAGCATTGCAAAGTGCAAAGTTGAGCCTGTGCCTGTGGCTGACTTCAGGTTATGGAAAAAACACCTTGATGTTGATGTTGGGACGTTTCGATATGGTATAACTTGGCCTTGAAGGTAGATTCGTTGGCTCGCATCGGAACTGATCAAGAGTCTGAAGAGTGTGCCGGAACCGCAATTCAAGGTTCAATGCCATGTTGAAGGCTGCACTTGGCAGGGCGTAGCTCCTCGTGGTAGTCTACCTGGCAGAGCCGTTGTTCACATGGTTTCCAGGCACTTTGACCCTGATAGAGTCCGAGGTTTGCTGATCACTTTTCAGTCAGTGTTTTTGGTGGATAGATTTCTGCGGTTTGGGAGCATATCTGTCATGAAGGTTTCCAGCGCAAGAAGGAACCAGTGGTGGTTCTTGACATGTCCCAAGGTGATAGCAAATGCAAATCGATTGTCCATCTTGTCCTGTTTATCAACATCCATGTTTCCACACGCGCCTGCTTTCCAATCATTGCCGAGGACCATGGCGAAGATGACTTTGAAAGAGCAAACAAAGGAATTGAGGCCCAAGCAAAGAGATTGTCGTTCACCTTCCAAAGTCGTAAGGAGAGTTCAGCTTGGACCAGTTTCTCATGCTCTATATAACTGCTGAAACTTGCGTGCTCGAGAGTAGTCACGATCGAGCGTGTGGTGGTTGCATGTTCTTGATTTGCGTTGCGTGAAGCGGATGCAAGTTGCATTCGGTTGGAAAAAGTCACGCATGACGAGACTTGAGCTCAGCTCCTACAAAATTGAGATTGGCACTGCCTTCCAAGACCGCCTTTAACTTCGCATGAACGGGTACTCACTCAGTGTCCGACATGCAGGCATCCAACCTTATGAGGGTTCTCAACCAAATCCGATCGAATCAATGGCCAAAGCAAAGAATGCTTGGAGAATTGCTATTGGATAAACTCAGAGCGGTGAGGAGGTTGGAAAGGGTGATTGATGAAGCCAAGCGTTCCCCTGCAAATTCCTATTTGGGGGATTTTGGTTGTCTATGGGGTAAGTTGCAGGGGTTCCTTGTGGAGGAAAGAGAGGACTAATAGTCGAACAGCCCGTGCAGCCCCAGAAAGGCGAATCAGCTTAAGCTAAAGACCCAGCTAAGGCCTCTCCTACCACTCCCTCTGTAGCTGCAGCAGTCAGCGCTCCGAAGCCAAAAGGTGATGGACCAAAGTCACCGCCGAAGAATGCGCAAGGGAAGCCCAAAATTAAAACATGTTAGACCGATGTCAGTCGAAGAAAAACACATTGCATTTTCCATCAAAAGCGGACAGGCTGCGTCCATGATGGTAAGTGTGTGTACAGCCATGAGAAAGCACCAAAGCCTAAGGCTGCATCCGTTCCGAAGGTCGCCGCTGTGGTTGCCATTGTTGCAGCTGTGAGTTCTATGGTAACATGTTCACAGACAGCTGGATGACTTGAATGGGCTGCAAACACTAGCGCTGGCTGGCATTTGGTGTCTTATGAAGCTTTGCAGGAACAAGGATATCACAGCTCGCTCTTTTCCGAGTTTGCCATAGCTCGCATGAGAAGTGGAACTGTGCAACAGGCGATGGATTCAACAAACTATGCAATGCCATTGGTTTCAAGGGTCAATGTGGACTCCCAGCGATGCCGATCACTTCCTTTGGACTCATGCCCAATGGTTATATAGATCAATTGGCCTTGATGTGGAACAGAATGGCTTCATTTGGCTTCGATCTTCAAAGGTATATGTGCACAGCGCCCGGCCGGGATTGCTCCGGGCTCAAGGCCTTATCTTGTTCGCGGCCCCTCCGAGTGTATTTATGCCCATGGCTGCAGAATCAGTCTCTCGCGTTGATGATGTTGAGATTGTCACTTTACGTAAGATCGGATTCGGTTGATGTTCCTGGCCTTAGACCAGTCGATGCTCCCGATGACTCATCTGATATCCGTGTTGAGATACCGCAAGAATTTTTGCTTGATCCCGAAATATGTGCTGTGCCTAGTTTGCCTGCTAACGAACTTGGAGCTAGAAGAGAAGCGTTGTCAATTCCCATCGCATATCACATATGCCAAAGAATCTTCTTTGCGATGCGTGTAGCAGAGCCAAGCTCTATGCAAAGAGAATGAAATCTCACCGTGTGGCCGATGAAGAATCAGATATTCCGCCACCAGAAGCTTTTGCACAGGAGTTAGCCATTGACCACCTTATAGTTTCCAAGACTTCATCAGAAAAGGAATTTGCGGTGTTGGTTGTACGTGAGGGGTATAGTGGTGTAATCCAGGCTTATCCTTCAGCAGCAAAAGATTCCCTTG